AATTTCACATCATTGGCATACAAGAAGGAAGGAACGAGCATTCACTCAAAGGCCATCGCAGCTTCTCGCACGTGAGGATTGCAGCTGGGCGCGAGGACCACAGCCTAGGAGTGGAGCTCTGGGCTGACCTCGACACCCCCTGCGGCACGCTAGGAGGCAAGGAGCTCAGGTTTCAACCGCAACATTTTCAAACTCTGGATGCCACGCCCAGGATCCTCATCGTAAAAGTCAATGCGCCAGCCTTCCAGCAAACGATATGTGTGGCCCACGCCCCACATAGGGGGGCGCGTGTGGCGGACCGAAAGGGGTTTTGGCATGAGCTTAACAGGAAGTTGGACATCTGGCCATGTGACATTGTGTGTGTGTTGACGGCAACGCAGCAATAGGTTCGGTGCAATCACAATGGGTAGGCAACGCGAGCCCAATAGAGCAAGAGGACACGAGTGGGAGCTTCATGCGTAACTGCCTCAGGACCAACAAGCTCGCGGCCATCAACACTCTTTTACCCCCCACAGATGGAGGACACACTTACGTCTCCCAGAAAAGAGAATGGGGGAGGCTTGACTACATCCTGCTGGCCGAACCTCTTGTGGCCACGGCTCAGTCATGTAAGGTGCTTTATGATTTGGAGGCGTGCCGTAAGCACGACGACCATTTTCCCGTGATGGTCCAACTTGCGTGGGATACCCAAATGGCAGGCCCCCCCACAGGTGATAGGCCCATTGGCCCCATCCAACTTAGGGACCCCAAGCTCCAATCGTTGTTCGCTCAAGGGTTGGATGGATTTCAACTTGATGATTGGAGTGTCAATCTCAATGATCAGTACACCAGAACTGCGGATTTTGTGAGGACGTTAGGACAGACCACCTTCGGTAGAGAAGCCAAGAGGGTCCGTAAACCGTATATTCGACCTCGAACGGTCCAGCTTGTTTGGGTTCGACGGGCGTGTCGCAAGGTACTACAGCATGTCAGGGACACATCAGTTTCTGAGGCGGTGGGTCATCTCTTTGCGCGTGTCTCTAAAGTGGCAGAGGGAGAGCTCAGGGGGGATATGGCTGACGCTTTCCCCGCCGACCCCCACCCAGTTTGGTGTGCCACGGACGACCCCAACAGAGCTTGCAATGGAGATGGCGCCATGCTGTCTCAAACGATGGCCGCGGTGAGAGAATGTTGGAATGTCGTGCTCACGGGGGCGCAGGCCTTCGTGGATAAGCGGGCCCAGCCCGAAGAATTTACGCTGGCTATTGTGGGGTTCGTGCACAGCACGCAGCCTTTACTGCGAGAGCTCATAGATCATGATTTTTGAGCCCTACTTGAGCAGCGGAGTGAAGGGATCAATCTAAGCATAGATGCCAAACTCCCACGCTCTGAGTGGACAAAAGTTAAGCGCTTGCTCATGCTAGGAGGCAGAAGATCCAAGAAGCAGGCCTTTTTCCCGCTCAGAAAGGCACCAGCTGGCACCATTCTCACCACGCTGGAAGCGCAGGCTGGCGATCTCCAACGCCATTTTGGCGATATTGAGTTCGGCTTGGATGCTCAACCAAGCGACATTGCTGCAGCCTGCAACTCGGCTACGCCAGCTCCGCCGACTACCACCACCAGAGAGGTCACGAGACTCATCACCAAGGGTGCTCTGCAAAGGGCCCTGGCCAAGGTCCCTGCAGGCAAAGCCACGCCTGACAATATCACGGGGGATCTTCAGCGGGTTGTGCCAAAAGCTCTGGCGAGGGTCTGGCACCCAGTGCTGTTGAAAGCCAACATGATTGGCACCGAGCCATTGGGGTTCAAGCAGGGAGTTGTCGTTGGTATCCCCAAGGGCCCAGACGGGCCTTATGCTTCGAGCAGAAGGAACATACTGCTCACCTCGACTATCAGTAAAGTGTATCACAAACACATCCGCGCGCAGGTCCAGGCGGCCATGGCCATCTCACTGGAAGCATCCCAGTGTGGATGCAGAATAGGCATGGGGACGGATTTTGCTACTCACTTCATAACGGCTAAGCTGCACATGCACATGAGAGCAGGCAAGAGCAGCATAGCGCTTTTTGCAGACTTAAAGGCCGCTTTTTACACTGTGATCAGGCAAAGCCTTTGCAATGTGCCTGCCGAGAGAGAGGATTTTGATCTCGCGCTAAGCAACTTGCCTGTCCATCCTGCCCTCTTGCATGCGGTGCAGCATCTTGCCCAGACGCCTATCTTAGAGCAGTACTCCACCAGTGTGCATCTCAATGCACTTTTTTTCGGCGGCCCTATCCTCGGGATTTTGGGCGTGCAAGAACGCCAAAGGGTTTAAGAAACCCATGCTGGGAACCAAACCTGGGACGGTCCTAGCGACCGACGCTTTCAACTGCGTGTTTTCCCCGGTGATTCGGGACCTCCAGGCCAGGCTTAATGAAGAAGGGCTCACGTGGAAGCCAGATTTGGAACCAGGGGCCGTTAGGTTGGCGCAAGAAACGGATTTAGACCATGCCCATGATACCATCTCTTTCGTCGATGATCTCACTGTACTCTGTGCCATCGACCAGGCGGCGGATACACGAGCTGCGCTTGTGAAGGCCACCGAACTTTTGGCAGAAGTGACGTTTAACAGCGGATTGCGGCTCGACCTAAGCAAGACCGCGGCGCTTATTATTCCTGTGGGACCAGGCACCAAAAAGGCTCAGCAGGAGTTTTGGGCCCCCCAGGGCCGAGAAGTGTACATCCCCTCCCTAGGAGCGTCTGTTCAAGTGAAGCGAACTGTCAAGGCCCTGGGTACCATGGTTAACGATCGTCTCGACATGTCGGATGAGATAGCCTACAGGATAGCCTCGGTTGCCAGTGAGGTGCGGCTCATTCAGCGCACCCTTGGGCCTCGGAAGAAGCTCAGACTTGACCTGAAAGTCAGATATGCGGAAAGTTTCGCTCTCACGGGGCTTTTTTTTGCAGTGCTTCCATCTGGGGTCAGCTCAGCACGCGACTCGCCAAAAAGACTTCTCAATGTTCAGATCAGGCCCTACAGGGCCGCCCTGGGACTGTCGATCAGCAATTCTGACGTGGGGCACATTGCACACAATGACATTTTGTCACAAGTGCACAGGCTGGAGGCCAAAGATGTGCTTCGGGTGGCGCGCCCCAGGTACTTACCCAGGCTGCTGCGTCAAGCACCGCCAGCACTCAGAGTTGCCATTGAGTTTCTTTTTCAAGAAAGCAGCGGCTGGCTAGTGCAAGTGGCAGACGATCTCCGATGGATGACTCCGCTTTGCCTCAAAGGGGAGCTGCGGCGCCAGGCGTCCTTACTGTGCTGGCTCACGGAGGCCAGGACGGAGCCGCGCGCATTCCTTCGACGAGTGGCCAAGGCGGCCGCCAGAGCGCAGCACAATTTTGAAGAAGATTATCGAGCGATGCAGCTTGACAGGCACATCCAGCTCATCCAGAATGAAAGGCCCACTGCAAATGAAGTTCCAGGAAGCACTGTCACCATGTTTGTGTGCTACGAATGTGGTTTCGCGACAGAGCAGATCAGGACTTATAACATGCACATGGCTAGGCAACATAAACACATGACGGATCCGATGTGCTGGGCTGCGGGTGCGGAGTGCCAGTGCTGCAGGAAACAATGGCATACCCCGAACCGCCTTCAGATTCATTTAAGAAGGTCCCCCAAATGCAGATTGGCATGGGGCCAGGCCGGGTACAAGGCTGGGGAGGAGGAGATGCAAGCTTGGAGGGGTGCTGGGAGAGAGGTGCAGAAGAAGAATCGCAGCAAAGGTAAGAGTGATAATTGGGCGGAGTTCCCCCCAGTGCAGCTCTTTGGACCCTCGTTTTGTAGAGAGGCTCACTTGGGGCCGCTGGAACCTTCCTGCCTCCCTCCCACTGTGTGTGTCCCCATCCTGAGACCTCGGCAGAAGCAAAACCCCACTGACCCAGGACCGAGCAAGGAAGGGTTGGAGCCAAGGTCTATCTTCTTGTGCTTTTACACGGGAAACAGGCACGACGGTGACTTTATTGAGTCACTTGAACGAGAATTGGCGGACAGTGGAAAAAGGGCCAGCATTCTCACCTTAGGGGATCAGGAAGGGTGGGGACAGCTTGCGCTGCCACACGTGCTACGCTTTTGGGCTCAGCTCATCCAGGACGGTTTTGTTGGGGGGCTTTGGGCTGAGCCCCCCAGAGGTACCTGGCAGGCTGAGGGGGCCCGTACTCGTCTGCCGCGAGACCCCAGCTTTCCTTGGGGAAGGAGAGCCCTCCGTGAGGTAGAGTTCACTCCCGTACGGGAGGATAATCGTGCTCTTAGGGCGGTGCTCTGGTTGACGCACGCCTGTCGTGGCGCGCAAGTTCCATTTGGCATCATGCATGCCCCGTGGGCCAACGAAGCCTCGCAACCCACCATTTGGGGACTTAAAGAGGTGAGCATGCTTGAGGGATGTAGATTTGATTGCGACGGGAGTAGCATTCTATTGTCTGGTGTGCATACTTCCATCCCTCTCGTGCCCACTCTCACGCCTCTTGCTTGCGTGGCCCAGAAATTCGCCGCTCTCATCCATTCATCCAATCACCGTGACCTAGCTCCTGAGCTCACTGAGCTGGAGCTCAAGCTGGACCCTTATGGTTTGGAACCTCTGGGGGGTGAGGGTGATGAGGGGTACGACCTGCCAGCTTAGGTTGTGGTGCGGCCAGTTTTTTCAATCCCCTTTACTGCCTCTGCTTGCTGCCCTCTCTCCACTTAATCCACTGTGATAGGCTGCGTGACTCAGAGGCCTTCATCGACCGACCGACCGACCGACCGACCGACCGACCGACCGACCGACCGACCGACCGACCGAGGAGGAGGAGGAGGAGGAGGAGGAGGAGGAGGAGGAGGAGGAGGAGGAGGAGGAGGAGGAGGAGGAGGAGGAGGGGGAGGAGGGGAGGAGGAGGGGGGGAGGGAGGAGGAGGAGGGAGGAGGATGAGGAGGAGGAGGAGGAGGAGGAGGAGGAGGAGGAGGAGGGGGTCTGGAGGAGGGTCAGGATGTCGCGACCCAGGTGATCGGCCAGCCCCTCGTCGAGCGGGCCCGGTGCTCCTTCGCGGCCGCCGCCGCGGTCGGCGCGGAGGCGGCCCTCGAGCCACGCTACTGGCGGGCGGCCTGGCCGGCGGGGCTGTTCGAGACCGCGCTGGAGCTCGGGGGAGGAGAAGCCTCCTCGTGCTCCTCATCGTCCTCCTCCTCGCCCTCCTCGTCCTCCTCCTCGTTCTCCTCCTCGTCTTCCTCCTGGCCCTTATCGTCCCCCTCCTCGCCCTCCTCGTCCCCCTCCTGGCCCTTCTCGTCCTCCTCCTCGCCCTTCTCGTCCTCCTCCTCGCCCTCCTTGTCCTCCGCATGCTCCTCCTCGTCTTCGTCATCCTCCCCGCCCTCCTCGCCCCCATCAGGCAGCGATGCCGCAGCCCAGCCCCGAAAACAAGGAGCCAAGAGCCTTCAGCAGCCCCCCGCGCCGATCCCAGCAGAGGCCGCGCGCTGGAAGAGTTCAGTCGGGCCTGTCCCCCTACAGGAGGAATATTCAAGAACAGTAAAACATAGTATGTGGACGTTTTTTGTTGTTGTTTGATTGTTTGGACTTTTTGACCATTCGGGGGTATTTTTTGGCTTTTTTTTTATCTTTCGTTATAATAGTTCGAAATACACTGGGGAGGATTTTTGAGTACTTTGTATTTTTGACCAGAATCCCCCTGTAGGGGGGACATGCCCGACCTAATGGACGAGTCGCGTCGGCGGGCGTCGGGGCCAGGCGCAGCTGGCCTGGGAGCCACCCGAGGCTGGAAGACCGCCGAGATCCCAGGGAAGCTCCCGCACACCTCGAACCTCGAGCCTCGAAGCCTCCCGAAACCCTCCTCCTCCTCCTCCTCCTCCTCCTCTTCCTCCTCCTCGAACCTCGAAACCTCTGGAAACCCTTCAGCCTGGAGCCCTCGGCAGCCCCCCCCCGCGCCGACCCCAGCAGAGGCCGCGCACCGAAAGAGTCGCGCGTCGGCGGAGGAGGAGGAGGAGGAGGAGGAGGAGGAGGAGGAGGAGGAGGAGGGAGGAGGAGGAGGAGGAGGAGGAGGAGGTGAGGAGGAGGAGGAGGGATGGAGGAGGAGGAGGAGGAGGAGGAGGAGGAGGAGGAGGAGGAGGAGGAGGGAGGAGGAGGAGGAGGCGGAGGAGGAGGCGGAGGAGGAGGTGGAATACTACTACTACTACTACTACTACTACTACTACTACTACTACTACTACTACTACTACTACTACTACTACTACTACTACTACTACTAATAATAATAATAATAATAATATTATTATTATTAATACTAATAATAATAATACTAATCATACGACTAATAATAACATTAATACTAATAATAAGACGAATACTACCAATACGACGAATAAGAATAATACAACGAAGCATAATAATACTAAGAATGAGAAGACGAATACGAATACTACGAATAATACGCATTTTAACAAAACGACGACCCCGACGAATAAAACGAATCATACGAACACGAAGACGAACAATAATAATACTAACACTGGTACTACGAAGTATAATAATACAAATAAGAATAAACATCATAATACTAAGAATAACACACGAATAACAATACTGATACTAAGAATAATGAGAAGACGACGAACAGGAACGATACTACTACTACTGATATTAATAAGAAGACTAAGACTACCAATTATAATACTATGAGTAGTAGTAAGAAGGATAATCCGAAGCATACGAATAATAATAATACGAAGAAGAAGAGGAGGACGAGGAGGAGGAGGAGGAGGAGGAGGAGGAGGAGTCGGAGGAGGAAGGGGAGGAGGAGGGAGGAGGAGGAGGAGGAGGAGGATGAGGAGGAGGAGGAGGGAGGAGGGAGGAGGGAGGAGGAGGAGGGAGGAGGGAGGAGGGAGGAGGAGGGAGGAGGAGGGGAGGAGGGAGGAGGGAGGAGGGAGGAGGGAGGGAGGGAGGAGGGAGGAGGGAGGAGGGAGGAGGGAGGAGGGAGGAGGGAGGGAGGGAGGAGGGAGGAGGGGAGGAGGGAGGAGGGGAGGAGGGAGGGAGGGAGGAGGGAGGAGGGAGGAGGGAGGAGGAGGAGGGAGGAGGGAGGAGGAGGGAGGGAGGAGGGAGGAGGGAGGAGGGAGGAGGGAGGAGGGAGGAGGAGGGAGGAGGGAGGAGGGAAGAGGGAAGGAGGAGGAGGAGGAGGAGGAGGAGGAGGAGGAGGAGGAGGAGGAGGAGGAGGAGGAGGAGGAGGAGGAGGAGGAGGAGGAGGAGGAGGAGGAGGGAGGAGGAGGAGGAGGAGGAGGAGGAGGAGGGGGGGGGGGGGGGTCTCAGAAGGCGGCGGCACTTCTCGGAACTTCTGAGAGGTTTGTTCGGGTCTGCGGGGGAGGTTCGGAAGACTTCTCAGCAGGCCGGGGGACTTCGAGCCTTCTGAAAAGGCCCGCCCTTTCCCACTTTCCCCCCGCGCTCGCTGCCGAATCTGGGGCTGTGGTCTGGTCGTGATCCTTCACAGTGCTGCACTTGCTTCGAGCCGTCGGATCTCAGGGCTTGCCTCGTTGCCGCATCTCCCTGGGCCTCCCTGGAGGCCCTCGTCGCCGCGGCCGAGTCCGCCCCGAGATTCCAGTCAGGACCCGACCTCGGAGAGGTTGGGGTTGGCAGCGGCATCGGTGCCATCTGGCGTCCCCAGGAGCACGCGGACCGGGTGCTGCTGGCGCTCAGCCGCCTGCGCTACACGGCGACCTCCCAGGACTCTCCCGCCGTTCGTGCTCTGTTCGCATCCGCGGCTCCAGAGGTCAGCCACGCGCAGAGGGGGGTGGGGGGAGGGGGGGGGCTTCTTAGAAGCACCCCTGCTTCTTAGAAGGCGCAGGCCTTATCTATAGATGTCAGGCCAGCGCCTTCTAAGAAGCAGCCTCCTTCTAAGAAGCCCTCCCCCTCCCCCCTCCCCCTTGTGCGCGCCGCCAAGGAGGTCCCGACCGCTTCCCGCTGCCAGCTTTTCGCCCCGCATCCGTTCCTGAGGGGGCCCGTGGGCCCGAAAACGGCCCCCGAGGGCCGAAAGCGAGTCCCCACGCCTGGGTGGAAACGATCATCTCGTCGGAGATGTTTTTTTTTTTTTTTTGTTTCTCTGGGCCCTAGCTCGGGCCTCCGGAATGCGTGCGGGACGACACCCGGGCACCCCCGGAGCGCCCGCGACGAGGCGCAGCCGGTGGGAAAACCGCCCCGGGCTCCGGAAGCCTCACCAGGCCTCCGCTCACCTCTCGGGGGCGGCAGAGAGGGGGGTGATGACTGGGGGGGGTGGATATCGTGGCGGGGGCCATGATATCTCCCCAGATTTCATGGCGCCTCTTCTTGTTTCATTACGTTCCCGCCCCCCCCCGCTGGGCCGCGCACATGCCGCTGGTCATGATTTGCACCCCCTCTCTTGGACACCCCCCTCTTGGCCTCTCCCGACCCTCCGCTGACCTCCGAAGCCGCCGGGCTTGAGCAAATCGTGCAGTCGGCCCTGATTCGTAGGTCGACCCTGCCAGATCGAGGGTACCCTTAGAGAGCCCAGGGTTCGCTACTGACTGGTTTCCCCCGAAAACGACGAAAAGCCACTCCAAAGCCTTCCTGACACCCTCGGAAAGCCTCCCTCAACCCTTCCCGGAGGGCTTTCAGAGGGTGTTAGTTTTTTGTTCTATATATATATATATATATATATATATATATATATATATATATATATATATATAATGGAAACCAGTCCCTAGCGAACCCTGGACTTTCTCATGGTACCCTCGTGACCTGTCTCTCGCGACCCATGCCTGCCACACTCCTATGGCAGCGTGGCCCTCAGAGGGGTCCTGTGCCCTCTCGCGTGCCCTCTCCAGTCAAGTGCGACTGTATCGTCGGAGATGTGAGCACGCGGCGCTTGACGGGGGGAAAACATACAACCTCCGAAAACCTCCGCAAACCTTCGCTAAGTGATCGTTGTCTCATTTAGTGTTTTGCCGATCGGCGCGGGCCCTCGCACCCCCCCCCCCATGGAGTAGATTTAAGTCGGGCCTGTCCCCCTACAGGGGGATTTTCGACGAAAAATTAGACATACCCCCCAAAATAGTCCAAAAATTGTCCAAACATAGTCTGGGGACTATTTTTTTTTGTATTTTTTTGGCCTTTTTGGGGCATTTTTGGGGTATTTCTTATTTTTCGTCGTGTAGGGGGACAGGCCCGACATAACGCTAAGTGATCGTTTTCTCATTTATTGTTTTGCCCATCGGCGCGGGCCCTCGCCCCCCCCCCCCCCCCCCCCTCCACATGGAGTATATCTTGGCTGCTTTTGGCGCCTGCTTCCAGCAGGTGGGGTCTCCCCCACAGGACGCACTGCTGCAAGCAGTCGTATGGAGCAGAGGTCCAGAGCCCTGCGCCCCCCCCCCTCTCGCACCCCCTTCCGCCCCATGTCGAGACGCCGAATGAGAGAACGCTCACCAAACCTCCGCGTGCCTCCGCCTCCTCGGTCCTTCCTTGGCCGCCCTCGCCGGCCGCGCCCCGCTCGAACAGCTCAGACGTGGGCGCCCAGGGCCCTTGCATCCTTGTCGCACATCCTCATGATACGGGCCGACCCTCGCCGAGGAGGAGGAGGAGGAGGAGGAGGAGGAGGAGGAGGAGGAGGAGGAGGAGGAGGAGGAGGAGGAGGAGGAGGAGGAGGAGGAGGAGGAGGATGGAGTTCTTTGGCCCCAGGCGGCCGAGGGCGAGGCGACCAGCGCGTTCTTCTGCGGGCTGCTGCAGTCGGAGGCCTTCCGGGGCGCGGGCCGCCTCTTGGAGGGGGAGCTGCGCGTCGTGGAGGAGAAGCTGGCCCAGGTGCTTGGCATCGCTCGGACGTGTGCATTTTTTATCGGCAAGGGCCATCGAGGAGCATTTTTGTTCACGTTGCGAAAAAATGCACGCACGGAACCGACAAAAAATGCACAGGGAATGGACGTCCAAGCGATGGCGAGGGTGCTCAGGCGTCAGGGGGGATAGGCTCAGGGAGGGAGGGAGGGAGGGAGGGAGGGAGGACGAGCAGGAGGAGGAGGAGGAGGAGGAGGAGGAGGAGGAGGAGGAGGAGGAGGAGGAGGATGGGGCCAGTGCAAAACCAAGAGTCCTCAACGATGTTGGAACTCACCCTCCCTCCAAACTCCCTCTTCATAGGCCCCCCACAACGCTTCATTTCCATTGACGGAACTGCCTCGTTGGCAGACAACCTTTTGAACATCTTGAAGCATGCCAAAACAGTGTTCTCGGGATTTCAACGCCATGTATCAACCTGACAGCTGCGTCCTGACGATCCGGAATCGTGCCAGAGCGCCATTTTTGGGACGTCAACACCGTCAATCCACATAACTGCTGCACTCGCATAATCCTGAACCCTTTTAAGACAACAATTCTGGTACGTTGATCATGGGAACCCGTGAAACTCTTGCAAATTAAAAATTAGCCTGGCGAATGACCCAACCATATGCAGTTGTGAAAACCGCAACTATGAAAATCGTTTTTGGTGGCGCTACCTGTGGGTAGGGGAGACGCATGCGAACACCCCCACTGGGGCCTTCGGTGGAGCTCCCTATGGGGCTACGAAACGCTGCCCTGGGTGGGGGAACCGCATGCGGGCACCCCCACTGGGCCCTTCGGTGGAGCCCCCTGTGGGGCCACGAAGCGCTGCCCTGGGTGGGGGAACCGCATGCGGGCACCCCCATTGGAGCCTACGGTGGAGCTCCCTATGGAGCTATGAAGCGCTGCCCTGTGTGGGGGAACCGCATGCGGGCAGCCCCACTGGGGCCTACGGTGGAGCTCCCTATGAGGGTACGAAACGCTGCCCTTGGTGGGGGAACCGCATGTGGACACCCCCACTGGGGCCTTCGGTGGAGCTCCCTATGGGGCCACGAAACGCTGCCCTTGGTGGGGGAACCGCATGCGCCCACCCTCACTGGGACCTTCGGTGGAGTTCCCTATGGGGCCACGAAAGCTGCCCTGTGTGTGGGAACCGCATGCGCTCCCCCTCACTGGGACCTTCGGTGGAGCTCCCTATTGGGCCACGAAGCGCTGCCCTGGGTGGGGGAACCGCATGTGGACACCCCCACTGGGGCCTTCGGTGGAGCTCCCTGTGGGGCCACGAAGCGCTGCCCTGGGTGGGGGAACCGCATGTGGACACCCCCACCGCTATGCCCTGGGGGGGGAACCGCACACCCCCACTGGGGCCTTCGGTGGAGCTCCCTCTGGGGCTACGAAACGCTGCCCTGGGTGGGGGAACTGCATGTGGACACCCCCACTGGGGCCTTCGGTGGAGCTCCCTATGGGGCCACGAAGCGCTGCCCTGGGTGGGGGAACCGCATGCGCCCACCCTCACTGGGACCTTCGGTGGAGTTCCCTATGGGGCCACGAAAGCTGCCCTGTGTGTGGGAACCGCATGCGCCCCCCCTCACTGGGACCTTCGGTGGAGCTCGCTATGGGGCCGCGAAGCGCTCTCCTGGGTGTGGGAACCGCATGCGCCCCCCCTCACTGGGACCTTCGGTGGAGCTCCCTATGGGGCCACGAAGCGCTGCCCTGGGCGTGGGAACCACATGCGCCCCCCCTCACTGGGACCTTCGGTGGAGCTCCCGATGGGGCTACGAAGCGTGTGAGAGGTGTGCCGAGAGCAGAGGCAAGGCGTGGGAGGAGGGAGGAGGGGGAGGAGGGAAGGAAGGAAGGAAGGAAGGAGGGACGCGGGGCACCGTCTCTTCAAAACGAGGACCCAACACCACAGGATGTTTGGGAACATAAAAACGAGTGTGCGCGGCACTAAGGCGAGAGCCACATTTCGAAAAAGGAACCGCCCTCAATCCGTAAAGCTCTTGCAATTTCTAGAAAACGAATGTATGCGGCGCTAAGGCGAGAGCCACATTTCGAAAACCACCCGCCCTCAATCCGTGAAGCTCTTGCAAAACGAATGTGCGCGGCGCTAAGACGAGAGCCATATTTTGAAAACCACCCGCCCTCAATCCGTGAAGTTCTTGCAAATCTTTCAAACGAATGTGCGCGGCGCTAAGACGAGAGCCATATTTTGAAAACGACCCGCCCTCAATCCGTGAAGCTCTCGCACATGTTGAAAACGAATGTGCGCGGCGCTAAGGCGAGAGCCACATTTTGAAAACGACCCGCCCTTCATATGTGAAGCTGCTGTCACTTTTCAAGCTTCAGAGCCATACATGGTGAGGGAGTCTCAGGGGAAACGCCCGGCCCGCCATAAAAACAGGCCTCAGGGTACGACAGGGAGGAATTATTTATAATGAGAAGGAATGGAGGAGAAGGAGGAGGAGGAGGAAGAGGAAGAGGAAAACACATACTAAATAGTAATACTCAGAAGAAGACTAGTATTAATGATGACAAGAAAACATACTAGTATTACTAATCATAAGACGAATAGCGAATTGAATGCTAATAACATTAATACTGATACGACTAAGAATAATAGCAGCAATACACAGATTACTGATACGTAACATAATACAAATCAAATTAATACGAATTACAAACATAATACCAACCATACTAACACTATTCATAATAAGACTAATAATACTCATACAACTAATCATCATACTCGTACTACGGACAATAAAAATAGTAATAATACGAGCAATACTAGTAAGCATAATAACAAACATACTAATAATATGCAGACGAATTCTTGACGCTTCGCGAACTCCCACCAGCCCATCCAGAAACGATGCCCAGAGGAACTGCCTCGATCAGGGAAGTGGGCAGCACACAGAGGAAGCCATTATGAGACATCTTGGGATATCTTGAGCCATCTTGGAGGTCATCTTGGGCCCTCCCAGGCGCTCTTGGAGTCATCTTAACCAGTGCCTCCCCCCCATTAGAGGCCAACCTGTGGCCAAAACCTTAGTAAAGTCAATGATTTGGCATTCTCGCTGAGGCCTCTTGGAGCATCTCGTGTGCCTCTGGGGGGTCTTTGGGGGCCTCTTGGGGGTCCCTTGGGAGCCTCTTAGGGGCACCCTGGCGGCCTCCTGGGGCTTCCCAGCCACGTCTTGTGGCCCCCTTGGGGCACCCCAGGGAGCCTTGGGGGCCATCTTTGGGCCATCCTGGGTGAGATCGATCACAGGAGGGGGGGTTACTAACTACAGGCCCCCCCCCCAGGAGGCCAACATGGGGCCCAAACCCTAGTAAAGCCAATGATTTTGGCTTCCTCGCCGAGGCCGTTCTGGACGCTCCGACACCTCGCGAAACCCCCCGTCCAGGTCCAGGGGAGGGGGTAGGGAGAGGGGTAAACCCCTCCCCGAAGGGGAAGAAGGAGGGGTGGAAGAGGAAACGCTCTAAACCAACGACGCCGAGAGGGCTGGTGGGATTATACTAATACTAATAATGACAAGAAGAAGAATAATCATACCAAGAATGAGGAGAAGAGGAGGAGGAGGAGGAGGAGGAGGAGGAGGAGGAGGAGGAGGAGGAGGAGGCTCAGGGGGGATGCGTCGAGCCCCAAACCGCCCCTTCGTCGCCGATGAGGGGCCCGGCAGCCCACCTCCCGCCCAGGACCGTGCGGCCTTGCTGCCGAGAGCCTGCCGCCCATGTGTCGGCGATGTGCCGCCGATTCCCGGCAAAATCCGACGAGAACGCCTGAAAACCTCGAATCTCGAACCTCGAACGTCCAGGTCGATGCCTCCCCCCCAATGACTCGAGTAGTAGGGGATCGATTGCAGCATTTCCAGGCCTCGCAGATGGGGTCGGAGCAGATGGGGTGGAAGGATGGCGCCGCATCGCCGATGCATCGGCGATGCGGCTCGATGTGGAGCCCGTGTTTCCCCACGCTGAAGTCGCCGATGCATCGCTGACGTCGTCGATGCATCGCAGGCGCATCGCCGATGCATCGCTGATGCATCGCCGATGTATCGGCGATGCGGCGAGATCCTCCAACCCCATCTACTCCGACCCCATCTAGTAGGCCGGTAATGACTCGAGTAGGGGATCGATTGCAGAATTCATCTGCCCCAGAATCGGCACTTTCGGCGGATCCGGAGCAATTGCGAGGAACCTTCGCAGATTTGCAGAACGTTCTACGTATTTTCTGGCAGGTCCGCCGAACAAATCACTGTTGGGGTGATCGATTCTGTAGCCGACCCCCTAATCTTACGTCGGCCTTGTCCCTCTACAGGAGGACTATTCCAAAATAGTTAAAAAAATAGTATGGGGACTAATTTTGGAGTATTTTTTGACCATTTTGGAGCATTTTTTGAGTATCTTTTCTGTCGTCGCAAATCCCCTTGTAAGGGGACACGCCCGACTTAACCCTAATCGAATGACGCTGTCCCTCTGAGGTGTTCGAGCACGAGCTGGAGGACGAGCCGTCGGTGCTGCAGGACCCGGGCCTCTGGGACGACCAGCGGGCCGCGTGGGGAGCTCGGGCGGGGGGGGAATCGTCCGAGGATGGACAGTTACCGACCCTTCCTCCCTCCTCCCTCCCCTTTCCTCCTCCCTCATCCCCTCCTCCCATCCCTGCCTCCTCCCTCCGCCACTCCCTCCTCCCCGCTCCTCCTCCCTCCCCTCCTCCCATCCCTGCCTCTGCCCTCCGCACGGCCATGTCGGCACACCCCTCCCACGTTCCTTGGCCCCGCAGGGAGCTCCACCGATGGCGGGGGTGTCAGGGTTCGCAGGCGGGTCCCCGCCCGAGTAGGGGGGTCGACTACACAATGGATGTGCACCAGCGTTGATTTGCTGGTCGAAGCCACCAGGAAAATGCGTAGAACAGTCGGTAGATCCACGGAGCATTGTCATTCTGTTTCGTGGGTTCGACGGGAAGTTCATTTTGGGGTCAATCGATTCTGTAGCCGATCCCCCACTCGGACCCTCAGATCCAGGCGTTGCGCAAAACGTCGTGATCGCGAGTTTCTCGTCACTTTCGGCCTCTGGGGGCCGTTTCCTGGCCCCAGGGCCGTCAAAACGTGACTCAGGATGGAACTCCAAGCTCAGCGGGGGCCCACGTCACGAGCACACTGCAGCGTCGGAGGAGAGCGACATTTCTGGTACCGCTGCCTTTCCCTCGTTTTAGGCTTTCTGGGCGTCCTGGGAAGTCCTCGTCGCCACGGCTGGATTCTCCTCGAGATTCTGGTCAGAATGTGCCCTAGGAGAGGTCCGGGGAGTAGCGGTATCGGTATCTTTTTATCGCGCCACTGGGATCGGCGCTGGGGCTAGCAGTGGATGCCAAGGTGGGTTCTGTCTAGCCTAACTTGGCTTAGAAGTGGGTTACCAGGGGGGGATGAAATACGTTCGCTGAGGTGGCGGAGCCGGCTTAGCCCGGATCATCACCCCCCCAAAGCAATTTTGGGGACTTGCTGTCCTTGCATAAGCCAGGTTCGGCCAGATGGGGCGCTCCAGAAAGAGCCTCGTCTTCGAGGGACAGGGAGCTCTTACCAGTTTGAAACATATCCCTATCCTTATGTTTGACATCACCTCACCTCGATGCCGATCTTAAGGATTCCCTCAGTTTCTGAGGGCCTATCCTTAAGATTGTCCTCGCTTTTTGCTCGCCCATCTTAGGGATAGGGATACGTTCGAGGCTGGTTGGAGAGGTTGACATCTCTTCCTCGGCGGAAGGCGACGGAAGTGCGGCGGAAGGCGGCGGGCGGGTTCCGCCGGCGGGAGCCGGCGGAAGTACAAGGTGCGCCTCCAAGAGATGGCCCTAAGTCGGGCGTGTCCCTCTACAGGGAGATTTTCTAGGAAAGATTAAAGATACCCTCAAACAAATTCAAAAAATACTCAAAAAATAGCCTTGGGACTACTTTCGGAGTATTTTTTGACCTTTTGGGGTATTTTTGGGGTATTTCTTATTTTTCGTCGAAAATCCCCCTGTAGGGGGACACGCCCGACATAACGATAGGGCGGTGTATAGGCATTGGGGGGGATGCATCGACCCTTCAATCACCCACTGATCGAAGATAGGGAGGGGCCCGATGGCCCCCACCTGCCCAGGAAGGTGCGGACTCACCATCGGGGGCTTCTCGCCGATCTATCGGCGACGCATCGCCGATTCCAGGTCGACGCATCCCCCCCTGTGCCAGTCCATCGTTGCCCCTCAGGTGAGGAGGGGCGGGCCTGCTCAGAAGGCTCGGAAGTCCCCCGGCCTTGAGAAGGAGCTTCCTCCGCCGCCCTCCTCGGAGGCGCAGCAGACCCACCAGCAGGCGCGAGGGCTTCTGAGCAGTCCCGCCGCCTTCGGAGACGGCCCTTCCCATCTCCCCCCCTCGGCGCGCCGCCGATCCCAGCTGTTGGGTCACAACTCGGGCCTCAGGCGGCCCTCCGGGACGACCTGGGCCTCTCTGGAGCGCTCTCGGCGAGGCGCAGCCGCTGGAGCGCCTCCCGAGGGCGGCAAGCCGCCAAGCGACCGCGGCAACGCCCGAACACCTGGAACCTGGAAGTCCGAACCTCGAACTCGAGGCTCGAGGCTCGAGGAGAAGCTCGAGGCTCGAGGCTCGAGGCTCGAGGCTCGAGGCTCGAGGCTCGAGGCTCGAGGCTCGAGGCTCGAAGAGTGCCTCCAGCAGCCCCGCCTGGAGCGTGCGGGGCGTGCGCGACGGCCCCCTCCCCTTCTCGCCCCCCCCCTCCCCCTCCTTCGAGGAGGGAGCCTCGAGCCTCGAGGCTCGAGGAGGGAGCCTCGAGGCTCGAGGCTCGAGGAGAAGGTCGAGGCTCGAGGCTCGAGGCTCGAGGCTCGAGGGTCGAGGCTCGAGGAGAAGCTCGAGGCTCGAGGCTCGAGGCTCGAGGCTCGAAGGTCGAGGCTCGAGGCTCGAGGGTTGAGGCTCGAGGAGAAGCTCGAGGGTCGAGGAGAAGGTCGAGGTTCGAGGCTCGAGGCTCGAGGCCCGGGCCCGCGGCGGGCCCCCCCGGAGGGGCCCCCGCGGCGGCAGGGGGTGCGTGGCCTGCCTCCCTCCGAGAGGAGCCGCGGTGCGGGAGCTGGTGCAGGAGGTTCGGAGGACGGCGACGGCGACCGGCGACGGCGGCGAAGGCGACCGGCGACGACGGCGACGACGACGATGAGCTCGACGACGACGACGACGACGGCGACGACGACGACGACGGCGACGACGACGACGGCGACGGCGACGGCGAGGAAGAGGCACCCCCTACCGCTGCCTCTGCCTCGCTTTCCCCGCCTCGGGCCTCCCGGGAGGCCCTCGACGCCACCGCCCTCGAGATCCTGGCGCCTCAGTTTTTTTTCGAGCCGGGCGTTTTCGCCTTTGTTCGTGCCCGGGGGCCCTCGCAGATCGATCCGGCTCGAAAAATGATGCAGAACTGATGGGAGCGTTTTCCACCACCACCACCATAAGTTGGAGGGGGGAAGAAGGAGGACGAGGAGGAGGACGAAGAGGAGGAGGACGAAGAGGAGGAGGAGGAGGGCACCCTCCCCCTCCAACTTATGGTGGTGGTGGTGGAAAACAGGCCCACCAAGAAAGGTGGGGTCCAGGGCTCTGGGCGTGAGTATGTACGGTGCTGCAATTTCTTCTCCGACGTCGGATCTCTGGGGCACCGGGTGCTCCAAGTCGGTGCCCGGACCCCTCCTGGGATCCAAAAGCGCACAAGTTTTCCGAGCTGCGCCCAGTGGTGGCGACGAGGGGGCCCCCCGAAGGCCAACTGCCATCTGCACCAGCGCGCCCTCCCATGGTAATTGGAGGAAGGAGAAAAGGCGACATAAACGCGCTCCGCGCG